CCCCGCCCCGCCCCGCGGCGGGAGCGCGCCGGCGGGCTTTGCGGGCTGCCGCCAGCAGCCCACGGGCTAGTCGGCGTTGTGCGTGGCTGGGCTTTATCTCACGGACGCTGTCACGTTTGTCCCCCCGCCAGCGCTGGCAGGCAGCCTCCGGGGTGGTTTCCCGTCAGGGCTGGGCTGCGCCCTCCGCGGGATCGCTCCCAGTTCGCCCTTGAGTGACTTGAGGCGCTCGGATGGGAATATTCTTCGGCTTGAAGCCTTTGTATTGTCACCGCCATAGCTACAATCTAGGCCCACAGGAGGCGGGCGGTGCGTTTCGGGAGCTGTGTCAGCCGTGCAGAACTTGCTCAGCCCTGACAGTAGATAGAGATGCTGACCGCGGGACCCGTGCAAAACACAAGTGACCCGCCCTCCGGGAGAGAAAACCACCCTTACCTTTTGCCCTGCATTTTCTCAGCTCTCTGTCCTGGATGAAGCCAGCAAACATTTGGGATTCCATGAAAACTTCCAAGAAGCGGCGGATACTCTTGGAGGCCACAGATTTACGGAAGGCCTCCCTTTGGAAGACACGCTCTCCTTTTTCATTCTGGGTTAGGAACAGGGAATAATGGCCAACTGTCTCCACAAAGAATCGGATAAAAACCTCAGACACTAATCCATTCAGGGTGTTACATTCTGCAAAATAAGGCAGCAATAAGACACCAAAATCAGCTGCTACTGGAGCTGTCAGCATTGTCATTCACACAGGGCCAGGTACTGTCATCTAGCAGTTTACTGCTGCCATGCTAATAACTGAAAGGAGTTGTACCGGCTCCTTGCAGACCTGGATGTACATCAGATAGGGTAAGAGCTTTATAATCAAGAGAGCCAGTCTACATAATTGGTGTTTCATAACCAGGACTCAATGAGAAATACAAATCCTCAGGAAACAGCTCAGAAAATTAAACATTTTGTGGGTGCATCACCAAAATTATACCTCATATTTTAACTCGAGTAAGTTTTCTTGAGAAGCTTCTGAATGACTCAGAATTAAAAAGTTTGCTCTGGGGATAATAAGACTTTACCAAGAACTGATCAAAAAGGGTATGTTGTAGAATTTGGGTTTTCATCATTTCTGAGATGTTAAAATAGTTTTACAAATGTAACACAGATGAGTAGAAATAAATTTCAAAAACTGAAAAGGGGCCTGTTTCATACCTTTTAACCACAGGCATTTAAATTCACCCTGGGCTGTTTTTATAATTGCTGGAGAGAAATATGAACCTTCAGAGGCAACTCAGCCCCTCTTGCACTGAAACTATTTTGTGGAGGTACCTGCTTCTCTCCCCTGAATGCACCAAGCGCCAAGAGCAACTCCGAACTCAGACACACCCCTAAGCATGTATAGTTATCTGGATTGAATTAGGGCCAAGTTAACCACAAGCCTCTGTTTGAGTAAAGGTCTAGAGATACTCATGGGAGTGCATGTCATTTACAAAGAAATTAAAATAGATCGCTGACAATGTATTACTGTGGGTTGATACTATCAGTCCCATTCTCTGTGTGTTCAGAGACTATCTTTGATGTTGCAAAAGGTATTTGAGTACTAAAGTCCCATCTTTCCTTCTCCTGGATGGAAAGTCACAATACTACCTACATGCTTGTTTATACAAGTCCCTGTTTCCAAATGAACTTACCATCATCTGAATCACTATCTGAATCCTGATTTATCAGTTCATTCTTTCTCTCTAGAGCCTGCTCCAGAGCAGCTTGCAATTTTCTAGGTAATAGTGTGTCTTCATCATCCATCTGACAGAGGAAAAAAAAATCTTTAGATCACATTAATCTGTGCAGCAACTACAGCAAATACTTTTGCAACGTTTAAAATTTAGAAGAAAAGCTGAAAAGTAGTATCTGCTACTGTCATGCCTCCATAAACAAAATAATGAAAATCTATGTGCAACTATCATGCATTTCAAAATAAATTTCTTGTCACTCTTAATGAGATTAAAGTCAGGAATGATAATCCAAAGAGCAAGGTAAACATACAGAAACTTGGAATCAGCTCTTTACATGACAAAGAGTCCAAATAGTTGTTTTTAACTAAATACACATCATGCAAAGCCTAGCTACATGTACACACAGCTGCTCTAGTTGGTTCTAGGCAGCTTCTTTGGTTCTTGACAGTTGTTTTCACTTATATTCTAGTATAACGTGTTTTCCGGGTTTTCCCCGTGTTGCTCTCTTCATCTTACTTAATGCTTGTTCAGCAAAAGCAGGTAGACACAAGAATCTTAGCTCTGCAGTCACCATTCACCAGCCATATCTTCCAGGGAATCGTACAAGAAAGTTTACTCATCTAACCTGCAGATTGTTATTTTTGAAATTACTTAGTGCCACATTGCTATCAGGAGATGGTGATCCTTCACCTCTCTGTTTACAAGGCTCCTGCTTTTCCTACCACATTAAACTATTCTTCAACTTTCCTCTCTCACTTAGAAACTTTTCTTTGCAATTTTTGTCCTTTTCACCTCCAACAGTGTAAGTTCTCTTGCTAACATGATGTTATTATCTTTGGATGTTTTCTTTGCACTGTGAATACAGTTCTTTATTTCTTTTGACAGTCACAGCCTCAATCCCCTTTGAATACCTGAGGAGTAGTACTTATTTGCAGGTGAAAGAGAAAATGAGCACTTTTTTTTTTCCTAATCTCTTTCCCACTGCACAATTCCTGCCAAATTTCTCTAATCAAAGGAACCTAATCATACTACAGGAGTAAACAGCTTGCTAGACAGCATGGCAACATTTCAAGCCGTACTTTACCTGTCTGATGAATCGATCAGATCCCAGGTTAACCATCAAAGCCTAAAGAGAAAAAAACAATATAGTGAAATATATCTGAAGAGACAGAAAACATCCATTTGTGTCTGCCTCTGCCTTTTAATAGCAAAAGATCATCTGAATGGTCCCAAGCCTCAACACGAATCAAATTCCTACTGTGAAACAACAGGTTGTGTGCTTTATAAAACAAGAAGATGAAGTTTTTCTTTAGAGCTTTAAGTCTAATTTAACATAGTTAGATACAACAGATCTCATACTAGGTTAATATGTAAACAAAAGCTAAAAGGGTTAGGCAGGTCTTTTTTTCTTAAACCTAAGCAAGTTATTGCTAATCATTTTTGTTAATGTGCAGACGAAAAATATTTCAGAGAGGTTTAAAGAAAATGGTGTCATTTGAGGCAGCAGGGCTTCTGAAGGGCAAGGGTGTGAAATAATAATGATAATGAAGCAACAAAGCTAAGAGACGGAGCTGGGAAGACATGGGAGAGCAATGTTAGGAAAGTGGGAGGAAAACAGAGCAGAGATTTACATGAGCCAGAGGCACAGAGAGCCTTGAAAGCGAGCACGAGAAAAGAAAATATCATAGAAAAATAACAGGAAGCTAATAGGAGTAAGAGAGAAGAGCGTGCCCTTGAGTATTTTGGTATTTTACTGGAAAGGCTGATGAAGTGCAACCCTCATTTAATTTCCAATATAGTATTAACAAATTCTTAGAAGTAAAATAAAAGCTTTAAAGGTTTTATTTTCTGTGCTGGCTATGGCCTCATGTACAACTTCCATTAGCATTAATAGGTGTCATAGCAGATGGCACTTCACATCTTCCTCTTCTTGTTCCGGGTACAACAAAATCAGAACAAATAGCATATTTACACTGTACTTACTTGTTGACCAGATTAACATTCACTTCTCTTTGTCAAGGTGCCAGCTATGGGAAGAGGGGCGGAACAAAGAGAAGACTAAACCTATTACTG